ACACACAGATCCACACAGGATGCCATTAACATCATTTTCAACTACATCCACATAAACACAAAAAAAAAAAAAACAGGGCACCCCTGGTTCCCAAAAGACGATAAAAAAAGGCCTTTGACACTGTTTGGCCGATGGGTTAAGTACAAACCGCCTAATTAAAACCTCCTCTCAAAAATCGTAAACCCCCTCTGCAACTTCCTAGACCCCCCGTCCCATGAAATCAAATTCCAAGGCTCTTACCTGCCCTATTCACACAAATGCCGGAGAAACCCCAGGACGCCCTTTCCCCCCTCCCCTTTTACATTTTATATACTAACGAATTCCCCAACACCTGTTTACCACAACCTAAAACACTCTGGGCCTATCCCGACGACATTACACAAATTTAAACACTATGCCAATATAGATACAATAAACCCCACAAAACCAATTTTGGGGGTCGAAGGTTAGCCATCGGGGAACAAAAAGGGAGGATAAAAACCCAATTGAGCTAAATTCCCTTTACGTTTTTTAAAAAAAACAGGAAACGTGATCCTCCATTCCCGGGCCCGACCCTAGACAGCTGAAAACCCCACTTACACCCCCATCACAAAATCTGTCAGCCCCTTGGGGCGTTAATTTTGCTCCTTCTTCGTTTACACGGACCCCTTTCACTCAAGGAAATGCAATATCAAGAAAGGGACCCTTGCGGTCCTCTACAACCCAAAAACATGCCCCCAAAACGCCCAAACTAAAACCTCTAAAACCCCCAAATACGTCCTCTGTTAATTTTAAAAAACTCTCCTAAAAGCCCTCCTCTTGCAGCAAAAACAAACTTACTTAAACTGCAGCGTGTCCAGAAAAAGGCTCTGCGCTGGGTGCTTGATGTCAGATGGGAGGACTTCGCCACAAGCGAGTCTCTCCATGCCCAATTAGACATCCCTGCGCTGAATCTGTACTGGAAGACGCTCAGTGACAGACAGATAGAGAAACTTGAGACACGACATGACTACTGGACCTCTCTCCTTGACGACGACATTCGCAAACCCACAATCCAACACAACCTTTTCTACTCCTTGCATGATCCTGCTCCTAATCCTATTTACAAATAACCTTGGATTCGCTGACAGGTACCATTCTCTGACCCACGTTCGCCTTAGCTTTTGGGTTAAGACATGGCCCAGTTCTACACTCCTCTCTAGCGCTAAACGTCGCATGTCCCTTCCTCCCCGCTCACCCCACCGGAGTCCCAACAGAAGAACCTGAATTTCTCTTCTCAATATCTGTCCCACGATCGCCTTCCTGCTGGGCTAAGCCCTGGCTCTATTTCTACAACTAAGAACACTCCTCTCCAGCACTATCTTCGTCTGTCTTGCCTTCCCCGCTCATCCCATTTGGGATCTTACCTGAAATTTCTTTCGTTCGTTCGTTTTATGCTGTACATTCTACAAGACTGGTGGACTGAACACATCGACTCCAGGCTGAGGGACTGATTACCTCAAACTCCTCCTCTCCTTACGCCTTTCTACTTTGTATTGGACTGATGAAGCCGCTGTGTGGCGAAACGTTTCCTGAATAAAGATTCCCATATGTTGCATAAGTGTCTCAATCTTCAACTTGTCGGTTTTTCAAACCATTCATCACAACTGTCAGACACTGCAGCATCATGGGATCTTGTTACAAAGAATTCTTCAACACTTGTTCAACCTTTGGACGAAGACCTACTTCGACTAGTGGATGGTACCACTATGACCCCACCTCCTCCTGCTTCACCTCACCTCACTACAGTATATAAGCCACGTCTACGGCCCTATGCTGTACATTCTACAAGATTGATGGACTGAACACATCGACTCCAGGCTGAGGGACTGATTACCTCAAACTCCTCCTCTCCTTACTCCTTTTTACTTTGTATTGGACTGATGAAGTCGCTCTGTGGCGAAACGTTTCCTGAATAAAGATTCCCATATGTTGCATAAGTGCCTCAATCTTCAACTTGTCGGTTTTTCAAACCATTCATCACAATTGCCTAAATGTTGCCTATGTGTCTTATCTACCAACCTGTCGGTATTGTATACCATTTGATAATAACTCTGTCAGACACTGCAACACAATGGCATCTTGGTACAGAAGAGAAAACACCTTGGACAACTTTTTCAAGTGAGAACTGTTTGATCTGAGAGGGACGTGACCTCTCAGTGGCTACATTCTCACTACTACTACTCTGCACCTCTCCTTCAGACAGTATTTAAGTCTCAACACTGTCGCTTGATCTTCAGATAGTTTCTGACTATGGAACTGAACTTCTCCAGGCTGAGGGACTGACAACCTCAAATTCTACGACTTCAAGGGTGATGGACTGATTACATCGTCTTCACATCTCTACTGCTCCCGCCTACTTTCTGTACTCGACTGAAGAAGCCTACTGTGTAGGCGAAACGTTTCGGTATAAAGTTGCCTATGTGTCTTATCTACCAAACTGTCGGTATTGTATACCATTTGATAATAAACATGATCGATGTTATCTCAAAAACATTACGTGACAGAGAAAAACCAAAAACTGTACTAAAGTTAGTTTCCAAAACTTTAAATGGCACACCAAAAATTATCTCTAACGAATATTCTTTGTTGCTCAGCGCAATAATAATAATAATAATAATAATAATAATAATAATAATAATAATAATATATATAATAATAATAATAATAATAATAATAATAATAATAAATAATAATAGTAATATATATATAATAATAATAATAATAATAATAATAATAATAATAATAATAATAATAATAATAATAATATATAATAATAATAATAATAATAATAATAATAATAATAATAATAGCTCAAAAGAACAACATTCAAAATATGAGTCTGAATTTATTAATAAAGATTTTGCAAGAATGACTTCCTCGGGAATAACAGAGATGGATTTCATGAACCTACCAACTTCAAGAATTTATTATTGTTGGTTTATTCTTCCAGGAAAACATGACGCTGGTCTTTGCTGGCACAACGGTGGAGACGCAACAATTTGGTTGTGTCTGTGAACACGAATGTACAAATTGATCCTTCGTGGACCGCATCAAGGCAAAAGGGCACAAATGCAACTAAAGAGACATTTTATTGTGGCAACGTTTTGCTATCACATTAATTGCACTTGTGTCCTTTTTACTTAACATATTGTCGGTAATTCTGCCAACATTATTACATATCAAGGCAAACCGAAACGTCGTCTAGTTTCGGTCTGCCTTGACCGGGCTGCAATCAGCGGGAGGAAGTTAGGACCTTCACTACTTGTTTGTCTGGTTAGGCAATAAATGTTAAGCGTATTACGAAAGATAAAGTATCTCTGATTTGTGGACTAGTTATGAATTATTTCATCACGGTATTGTGACTCTTATTTAACACAGGTATATATAGTTTAAGCCTGAATAAATCCATAACTCCTCATAAGATGAACTGAACAACTTACAATGTAAGTTGACTTGACCGATGTTATAGGAGCCAAATTTAATCTTCAGTCAGTTTGCAATATACACAGACAATCGTTGAACTAAATGCCAGGTACAGAGTCAGCGTTATGGTTACTCTCTCAAGCACTGTTTGCTTGATTGTCCATTTATTAAGACATACTGCGGTGGACATTATTGTAATCTGTGAGGTATAGCATTGAGTCCTAAAAATGAAAAGAAGATGCCAGACATTTTAAACAAATATTTATTTACAGCAGAAAAAACATTTGTTGTAAATATTTTTTTACAGATGTATTGTATTCCTTTTGAAGCCTAGTTCCAAGGTCTTTTGTGTATCCATTAGCTCGTTAGCATCGGTTCACATGATGTACATATGTTCACATGATATAGCGTGCATAATTAACCAGCAGGTACAGGTAGCATCGCCAGGAAGGATCCTGGTCCGGGTCTTCTCCATGCGGTGACCCGGCAGTGGCTCCTCACTGGGGGGTGTCATTAAGTTTTACATCGAGGTGGCGGGTGGCAGGCGATGATCGGCAGCAACATCTTAAGGTTCTTGACTGCAAGATACCCAAGGTGTGCTGCCGTCCTCCCGGGTCTCTCCGACGGTGTGTTGCGGGAGGAGGTGGTTGAGTAGGATAATGAACTAGCCACTTTCGCGGTAAAATTTAATCCAGTCATTGGCCACTGTAGCAGCGACTAGTAGAACACAGATGCTAGGTTCACTTATCTGATTGTCACTATTGGGCGGCCATCGCTCGATTACCCGAACTGGACTCAGGGGTCTCAGTGTCACTATTCTACATTAGGCCACGGCAGCAACGACGGCTGGATTGCCTGTGCCGGACTCGGTTGTTTGAGTATCGATACCATTTTGCCTTTTCATTTTTTTTCCTCTGGTTACAGATGTGGTGATTCCAAAACCAAGCAACCTGCGGGTACTGACAACTAATAGTGAATATATCGACATAGATTGGCAAGTGAGTTGAGGATTCCTGTTTTCTTTAATTTACCAATAATAGACTATACTTTCTCCTCCACGGGACTGTGCTAACCTTCTCTATGTACCATGTTAATTAGCAGAAATACTTAATATTCTTCATAAACTATGTATGAATTTTTACGATGTCTGCAACGGTGAATGCCAGTTACGTTGATATATGCTGATTAGCAATGTAAGTTAGGTATAATATATACACAGGATATATACACCTCTGTGTATATATCCTGTGTACAAAAAGATTACTTGATGTTAATGTCCAGGTGAAATGTCGCCTTGAACTTAACAATTTTAAACAAGTGTTCATCATAGCGAATATGTTTCAATGCTGAGTTTACACCAACGTGAAGTTTCCGGCTATTTAACTAGACACAGTATTCTGGTTTTGTTCCAGTATTGGATGTGGGTGATGCATATTGATGTTCTTAGAGAACCAGATGTCAACAAAATTATTTCATCTCATTATGATCATGATTATTTAATGTTACTGTCTTCATTGATTTAACAATAATCCTAATTTAGCTGTCGAATTTAACAGTTTGACGGAGATCAAAGAGACGTAGAGTACACAGTGAAGGTTTTCTACAGTAGTGGAGTGTTAGCTAAAGAACAGGGGTCACGAGTAGCGTCAGCGAGGGTGGGCGAACTGGCTCCAAGTACCGATTACACAGTGTCAGTGATGGCGTTTAAGGCTCTCCCTCGAGGTCGCCGAGCTAACAGTCCTGATAGCGATCCTGTCTCCGTTAGAACTCAAGGTTAGTTATTGTAAGCTAATGTACTGTGGGGCAATGATCTGACAAGCTAGAACAGAGATGTGTAATGTAGAGTAAGCTTGTATTTTAGAGGCAGACGATGCCTCGCTTAGGATTGACGTTTATTAAGTCTTGATAAAGCTCATTCCTGAGCAAAATGTACGTATGATGAGAGGGTTACCTATGTGAGCAGGGATAGTTTCTCAGCTTCTGTGGTACTACATTAAATCCTTATTCCTTAACAACCAATATTGGAATAGCATATATTCTTCTGCATTAGTTATATTTTGCACGCAGTGTTATTATTTCAGCAATCTCAAAATTCTTGCAACAGTTGAAAAAGACCAGTAAAAAAAATTGTGTGAGAAGAGCCATGCCACAGGACTAAAGATCTCTGCTCGAGATAGGTATCAAGGAGAAATATATATAGCTTTACAGAAACTGTTTCTTTTCCAGGGACTTCCCCGCCAGTCACTCCACCAACTCGCCCCACTACACCACCACCTCCACCAACTCGCCCCACTACACCACCACCTCCACCAACTCGCCCCACTACACCACCACCTCCACCAACTCGCCCCACTACACCACCACCTCCATCAACTCGCCCTACTACACCACCACCTCCAACACCAGCTGGTTGTGGTGAGGGTTTGTGCTCCTGTCCCTCTCCTAACGAGCGTTTCTGCGTCTTCTGTCAGAGTATGGAAACTTGCAACAATCTAGGTCAGTAACTTAATGCTTTACTTACATTTTAATATATTGGTTTAGAAAGATACTTGTCGGTATTTATTACCAAGTTTTATACCATGGTATACCATGGTATAGCAGGCTTATTTTTTCAAGTAAACTTGTTGAATAGGTAAAATCTGCAATACAAGTATTGTTTTTATGAAAATCCGTTGATACTTCTCGTCTATACGAGGAAAAAGGAAGGGGAAGAATAAAGAGAAGGCAGGGGAAGACGGGGAGGAGCAGGGAGGGGAGGGGAGAGATGGGGAAGGGGGAAGCAAGGAACACTGACACAACGCTTCAGATATATCTGTTATGTCCAGCTGATGCCAGTCATGATTATAGCTACAAATCAATATCCGGAAAACTATTATTGGTAAAAGACTCTTAATCCAGTCGTGGATAAATCCTGGTTACCTCCAGTTCCCCGTATAATAATGATATTTATTATTGTGTTCATATTCTTTAATATGACACTTCTTTACGAGATCCACTGATACATCTTCTAGGAATATGTATAAACAAATTACTCAACTCACAACAAACATGTAGCAACAAACCGTCACTACTATGTATCTTAAAAATAAGTAAAAAGAATAACTAAAAATTTTTAAAGGGGTGAACTGGTAAGCCAGTGGAAGGCCTCTGTCAGATGACCTAAAGCTCCAATGGCGGGCCATCATCTGCCTAAGACCCGCGTCAAGAAACACTTGTCCTGACGCGGGTCTTAGGACGAACCTTACCTAATCTAAAATAAGTGCAAATTTTGATATATTAGAATATACTACGTGTAGAAGCACTAACCGTCTAGGTATCGCACTTAGAGAATGGAAGGGTACCAGATTCGATTCGAGGAAGGAGAGGATTGTTCCAATCTCTTGAATCAAGAGACCTTCAGCAGCAACATAAAACCCTAGTCGAAGGGAAATTTTGACTTACCTCTACTGTATTTCGAGTTTCTTTTGACAGCCTGAAGTGGATCTGTTGTTGCGACCACTGGTACCTTGAACCAAGGAATTAGAGCTACTGTACTCTTCCTCCCATTAAATATGACTGACTTCCATGAGCTGTATCACCCTTTAATTTATAGTAATTAAGAGGCCGCCTAGTTGAAAAAAACATCAAATATATTTTTTCTTACACATCTGAACGGTTTATAGTGGAATCTCAGCAGGTCATGTGTCTGTGCAGTAGACAGTAACATTGCAGTTCAATGAGACAATTAAATCTAGTGTAGAAATTTTATGCAGGACAGAGATTCGCTTGATTTAAAACTTTTTCCCACTCAGAGCCAGTATAATATAGCCACTAATTATATTATGTTGCATTATTTTATTCCGCCTTGTTTGTATTCCGAAGACTTTCTGCTTACAGTCAGTGAAATGATGTTCTCACAGGAGACATGCTGACATGATGTTCTCACAGGAGACATACTGACATGATGTTCTCATAGGAGTGGTTGAAAAATATGACACGGACTCGGTATGGAATCTTTATTTGTGAACGGCATGAGCAAATGTTGCTAATTAACAAACGTTCCATAATGCTTTTCTGTCTTATTATATCCATTGTGTTGGTACAGTGTACCTCTGTTTTCACAGACAAGGAAGAAGCGTGCAGCGTGGTACCAGAGAGGAACGACATCAACATGACCGTCAGTGTTCTCTCCTGTGGATTTCAGATCATCGTGTTAGTACCATAATATTTTCCTTGTGTGCTTATGATTTCGCATTTTATCATTGATATATGTGGACGCTTAAGAAAGACACATGTGCAACGTTAAGAAATTTTTCTTCAGATATGTATCGCTCCAGGAGATCGGTAAGTTCAAGTGTCCCTCGTATACGTTTCTCGGTATAATACACCTTATGCGATACAGTCTGTGGAGATACTGTCCTATATGTAATTTGTGTGTATTTGAGTAATTGCCTGTGAGCATTTGAGTAATAGTGTGTACTTGAAGTAGTGAGTATGTGTGTACATTTGTGAAAATGATTATCTGTGAGTAGTTAGGGGAATGATTATGTTTAAGTATTGAAGAGAGTGACTGTATGTCATTATTTAAGGAAATATAATTGTGTGATGATATTTAAGTATTTATGTTTGGATTTGAGGGGGTGTTTGTATCAACATTTAGAGGTGTAACTGTGTCTGTTTTTGAAGGGCGAATTCTGTGAGAATAATTGAGAAAATGAGTGTAGTATAAGAAAGGATTGTGAGTGCACTGGAGGAAGCGATGTATATTTAAGAGTGACTGTGTTATGTATTTGAAGGAGTGAATATACAAAAGGTAGACGAGGGTCTTGAACCGCGATTCGAGCCCCTCGTCCACCCTTCTGTTTATTCATTGAGAGTTATTTATAACAACTTAATTTGAGTTTATTTAGAGGAGTGTTTGTGTGTACTTTAAAGTACATATAGTATGATTTTTTCACGAAATGTTTTCGCTCATACAAACGTGATTTCATAGGCAAAAATATGCCAACAGATAAAGTAATATAAATATATAACGGGGTAATAATTCGAGCAATGTTTCGCTTCTGAAACATTAAACCAAACTTTGTCTATATGAAAGCTTTAAGGGCCTTTGCATTACCATATTTGTATATATAATGAAGCAATTTGTTTGCCTCAGCGTGTGCAGAGTCACTGTATCCGATGGTTATACATAAATCATTTGTAGATCGACACCATGCCTCACCCTTCTAGGGTAGGGTAGGTGCCTGAGCCCGAGCCTTTAGCTCATAAGACTGTCATTCCCATTTGCCCCCTTGGGGGCGGGGATGGCAGACCAGAGAGGCCTAGCTTGTGGCTAGGCCTGGGGACAGTTGGTCCCAAAGATGAGGAGGTACTTGTGCCTCCTCCCATGGGAGACTTAGGTCTCAGACACTCCCTAAAGAGGGAGCCAAGGCCGGGCCACCACTTGGAAAAGGCCCGGGCCGGGAGAATACCGGCTAATATTTAATAATAAATAATCATTTGTACTCTCTTAGCATAAAAACCAGTAAATCATCTTTTGGAATACTTGCAGTACTAGAGAGACTTTTCGCCAACCAGAAAAACTTCATCAGTCTAATACAATCACAATAGAAAAGAGACATGTAGAGATACCAGAGAGGAAGTATTAACAGTAGCAGTCACACAAGCGTGGGCAGTGCTAACTGGACACTTTTACATGCATAACACAGCTGTCATGAACGACTACATGGTTGGCCAACATTGTTATTACTGTCACTTCATTGTACGCCACGTACCTCTCCAGTACTTCCACGGCCAGTAAATTACGCCTCTACATTGGAGCTCTGTCCAAGTTTGTGGTGATAACTGTGTGGTTCGTCTATGTGAGACATTTCTCATGTCTCTGAATCAGACTGATAACGTCCTCGGAAAGCGATACTTCTCTCAGATAACGTGATGTTGCACTTGTGTCTTATTCATCAACTTGTCGGTATTATTTATCTCTGATACAGTTAGACTCGTGATTAACTACACTCTGTATACACTCTGTATACACTGTATACACTCTGTATACACTGTATACACTCTGCATACACTCTGTATACACTCTGTATACACTCTGCATACACTCAAAATATTCTAATAAAATCTGTATTAGTCTTGCGTTATACTGGTATAATTTTGGCGATAAAATAGGATGTTGTAATGCACTACTAATAATTATTCACATTGCTAAAACATTATCACCAGATATATGTCTTCTAGTATGAGAAAAAAATATTCTGATAATATTACCCTTTTTATTTCAGAAACGTGGAAGGAATTGTCCGAGAAAATGGGTAAGTTCACTGCAGCTCTAAGATGAAAAACATTACTGACAGTTTTCAGTCAGAATTATCTTTATAGAATGATTTGAAAGCAAAAACGTCAGTGATGTTTCTTTAAAATGTGATGTTTCTTTAAAATGTGATGTTTCTTTAAAATGTGATGTTTCATTAAAATGTGATGTTTCTTTAAAATGTGATGTTTCTTTAAACTGTGATGATGTCATCTCGCACAAGGGTCTACCGTAGACCTATTATTGAATGGGTTTTTTCTGGTGCTGGTGCTACTTGACTCAAGAAATCGTCGATCTGTAGTTTTATGCCTCACTCACTGCAGGTTCAATCCCTGCCCGTAACGTGGTTGATGCTATTTGTTTCAGTTACCTGGTAAACGACCCCAATACTTCTTGAACTAAGTGCGTAGAAAAAAGTGGTAAAAAATCCAGAAGTAGTAAGGATATTTTATTCGGAAATTATTAATTCCATTTCCTGGTGTTTCCATGCATTTATTTTGGCGTTTTTCCTTTCACGAGACACACGCCACATGTGGATGAGTGGAACAAACTCCCGAGTAGTGTTAATGAAGCTAAAACCTTGTGTACTTTTAAAAATTGTTTAATGAGTGTGAGTTGGACCTGCCTCGCTTTGGCCAGAAGGTGTGCAGCAGTACTCCCACCTTTTTAAGCAAGTGTAACTTAGACCTGCCTAGGATGGGCCAGTAGGCCCGCTGCAGTGTTCTTTCTTATGTTCTAAACGTTACTTACAAATAAAGTTCGATCTTGTGTAGTATTTTGTTGGTTGACAGTCATCGCTATGCAATAGACAATAATACACAAATTTTTACTTTAACTTAGAGTAAATAGTGACAGGTTCAGCTGACCTGGTGTTGGGTGAGACTAGATCCTGATCATTGTCTAGTTGTGAAGAGGCGTTATCACTGTAATTGTTATATAATTGGTTGAAATACCTTCCTAGTTATGAAATACCTTCCTAGTTATGAAATACCTTCCTAGTTATGTTTCACTTACCAGTCCCTTCATGAAAGGTTCCAAAGAATTGTAACCATCCTCTCTTCCTTGATTCGAGTCTGGTTACCTCCTGTTTCTCTGGTGCTAAATCAGGAAAATAAGAAACGCTGATGAGAGGAGCGCTAAACCCTAAGGGTAAGCGCTCTTTTCATGAATGTAGTAATAGATTCACATACATATCTCGTTTCCCAGTTCGAGGATTCTATTTTATTTTATTACATAAACCATTTCTCATTAGTATAGGTGATTCGAAGAAGAAAACACGTTTACCATTACTCAGTTAGTACATGTGCGAAAGCCAAAATTCAGATGACCTTCCGAGTTTTAATATATAACTTCAGTTTATAATATGAGAAATTTAAGTGTTTGCTAAGGATTGTTTACCACCTGTGTAGAACAATAGCTTTTATCAGTGCTGTTTGCATTTGCTATATTATACAGAATACGATAATGATTACATTATTTTTTCTAGAGGACTTGTGTGTGGGACGTCCAAAGGAGTGCCAGTAGAGACAGTAGTGATGGCAGAATGTTGGGGCAGCGTCACGTTGTTGGCACAGTGCCGCCCTGATGGCATGTGGCACCCATATGGCAAGAACCAGGGCCAGGCACCCTCCACGCAACACCTGTGTCAAGATAATATCGTCAACTCTCCTGGTAAGCCATGCCTTCATGCTGCTAATACAGTGCTGCAAGTTCTGTACACACTTCCTCAGCATTAGTTAAACTTTTCCAGCATTTCTCAGTCGCATTCGTTACATTGCAAACTTAACAATAATAAGGTTTTGTATGTTTCATGAATAATAAATGCATGAAATTCATTAGGACTTTCCGATGGTATAAGAATGTTGTTTAATTAGAATAATACTTAATATTAGTGAGAGATTGAGTTCTACGATCTTATTATTTATATACGCATTGCTAGAATGGATCATGATCTGTGTGTGATGATGGTAGGCGAGTCAGAGCTCCAGGGTAATATTATACGAGTTCAAAAAGTTGGAGTAATTCTCCCTTTCTTAGGATTAGGTCTGATTATTTCTTATTTCCCATGCGCTGTTTGATCTTTATGGGTTTCACAGCCTCCAGTGACTGTCATAATAATATAGGGTAAATTAAACCTTGCTCCCCATTCTTCCAGGCTTCCTCATTAATGCCTCTCACACTTCGCTTACTCGTTTATGCTCCATATATAATATTTAAAAATATTTACTAGCGTAGTCTTTCCCTATATATATATATATATATATATATATATATATATATATATATATATATATATATATATTTTATATATATATATATATATATATGCAATAAGATCACAGTAAACAGGTGATTTCAAAATATGCAAAACAACCACTCTGAAAGAAAGAGAAATTCCAAGCGCTTTCCAAGCGCTTGGAATTTCTCTTTCTTTCAGAGTGGTTGTTTTGCATATATATATATATATATATATATATATATATATATATATATATATATATATATATGTGTGTGTGAACAGTATTTAGATAAAGGTAGGGAAGTTTTTATTGCATTTATGGATTTAGAAAAGGCATATGATAGAGTGGATAGAGGAGCAATGTGGCAGATGTTGCAAGTTTATGGAATAGGTGGTAAGTTACTAAATGCTGTAAAGAGCTTTTATGAGGATAGTGAGGCTCAGGTTAGGGTGTGTAGAAGAGAGGGAGAATACTTCCCGGTAAAAGTAGGTCTTAGACAGGGATGTGTAATGTCACCATGGTTGTTTAATATATTTATAGATGGGGTTGTAAAAAAGAAAATGCAGAGTGTTGGGAAGGGGGGGGTTTAAGTTATGGGGAATCAAAATTAAAAAGGGGGAATTGCACAGTTACTTTTTGCGATGATACGTGTTTGAAATTCTAAAAAAAAATTTGCAAAGGTTAGGGGATGATTGAAAAGGGGTTTTTAAAGGTAGAAAGTAAAAAGTAAAACTAGAAAAGAAAGGTGAGAGGGATCAAATATTTAGATAAGAAAAATTTTATTCAAAATTTGGGGGGGAGGATATGGAAAAAGTGAATGTTTTAGATTTGGGAGTTGGGCTGTCGGCGGATGGGGTTTTTGAAGGTGAGGTTAATTAGAATTGATGAGGGAAAAAGGGGGAGGGGCGTTGGGTATTGTGGAGCAAAAAAGTTTTTCTGGGGGCAAAGAAAGGGGGAAATTTTGAAAGTATGTAGTACCAACACTTTATATGGGTGGAAACTTGGGTGGTAAAAGAGCAGCGAGGGGGGACGGTGGAGGGGTGGGATGTCCTGTCTAAGGGCAATGTGTGGGGTAAAAATTTTCAGAAAATTCGGGTGTGGAAATTTGGAGAAGGTGTGGAGTTTTAAAAAAAGCATTGTAGAGGGGAAAAGGGGTTGTTTAGGGGTTTGGTCATTTAGAGAGAATGGATCAAAGTAGAATGCATGGAAAGCATATAAATCATGGGGGAAAGGGAAAAAGGGGTGGGGCGTCCCCGAAAGGGTTGGAAAAAAAGGGGGGAAAAGAGGTTTTTGGGGAGGGCTTGGGGCTTCCGCAAGCGTGCATGAGCGTGTTAGAAGGAGTGAAAGGAGACGAAGATACTTGGGCCCGACGATCTGTTGGGTGTGAGCAGGGAATATTCAGTGAAGGGGTTTAGGGAAACCCGGGTTTTTTATATAGTCGGGCTTGATCCCGGGAAAGGGAAGTACAATGCCCGCCTTTAAAGGAGTGGTTTTGGGGTATTGGCAGTTTGGAGGGGTATGTTGTGTACTTATACGTATATGCTTCTAAACTGTTGTATTCGAGCACCTCTGCAAAAGCATGATAATGTTTTGAGTGTGGGAAAGTGTTAATTGATGAAAGTATTTTCTTTTTGGGGATTTTCTTTCTTTTTGGGTCACCCTGCCTCGGTGGGAGACGACAGACTTGTTGAAAAAAAAAAAAAAAAAAAATATATAAAAAATATATATAATATATATAATATATATTAAAAATATAATAATTATATATATATATATATAGGTAGTAGGTTGGTAACAGCAACCACCCAGGGAGGTACACCGTCCTGCCAAGCGAGTGTAAAACGAAAGCCTGTAATTGTTTTACATGATGGTAGGATTGCTGGTGTCCAGTTTTCTGTCTCATGAACATGCAAGGTTTCAGGTACGTCTTGCTACTTCTACTTACACTTAGGTCACACTACACATACATGTACAAGCATATATATACATACATACCCCTCTGGGTTTTCTTCTATTTTCTTTCTAGTTCTTGTTCTTGTTTATTTTCTCTTATCTCCATGGGGAAGTGGAACAGAATTCTTCCTCCGTAAGCTATGCGTGTTGTAAGAGGCGACTAAAATGCCGGGAGCAAGGGGCTAGTAACCCCTTCTCCTGTATATATTACTAAATGTAAAAGGAGAAACTTTCGTTTTTCCTTTTGGGCCACCCCACCTTGGTGGGATACGGCCGGTGTGTTGAAAGAAAGAATATATATATATATATATATATATATATATATATATATACATATATATATATATATATATATATATATATATATAATATATATATATATATATATATATATATATATATATATATATATATATAGCATCAAACGAGTCGATAAGGCAAATTCTTCCTGTTAACCTCAGTGACTCAGCCATCACTGAATGGGAGACTCTTGCTGCTCGAGCATCAAACCCTAGTGCAGCACTGGCTCACAAACAGTCAAGCTGGGATGGCCCGATCGCTGAAAATGTGCTTGCCAACATGCTCAGGGCTGCAACATCAGAGAGGGAGATAGTCTCCAGGCTGTGAGCGCACATCACTCCGGGGACTTCCTCCAAACAGTTCCCATATCGGCAATGGGAACGCGACTCGACCCTAAGACCCTCCGTATTGCAGTGGCTCTGCGCCTTGCTGCCCCAATTCACACAGAATATACGTGTATTTGCGGCGAAGCACAAGCAGGCCAGTACGGTCTACATGGTCTTAACTGTTCCAAAACCAAGGGCTGGCATGCAAGACACAATGAGGTCAACGACATCATTAAGAGAACCCTTGCTACAGCTGGATGCCCAGCCGAGAGGGAGCCCCGATCACTAGCAGCCAACAACCCAGCAAACCGCCCCGATGGGATCACCATCTATCCTTGGAAGAATAGAAAGCTCTTAGCATGGGACTATACCTGTGTATCCACACTGGCTGCCACCTATATCCATCACAGTTTGGGGCGACAGGGAGGAGCTGCTGACCACAGGGAGGAGTACATGATCAGCAAGTACAGGAACATAGCCAACAGTATCAATTTGTCCTAGTGGGATCAGAGACCTTGGGATCATGGGGAAAAAATGCCACTCGCGTCCGGCTTCGGAGGAGCTGGAGGAAATTTATGATCTTTAATACATTGTACCATTGTATTCATGTTTGTGTTTTTCTGTAAATGTATTCTGTTTATTAATAAATGCTTATATATATATATATATATATATATATATATATATATATATATATATATATATATATATATATATATATATTGAATGTATATGTAATGTATTGATTTTTAGTAGCCATGAACAATGTTTTATTAAGAACGAGAAGAAATACATTCACATATCATAATATATACACCAATATGTATTTATCTGTATATACTCTGAAGGTCTATTTTAATTCCTATCTTTAGGATTAAAGAATTGTTGTTTGGCAATAATCAGGTAATATAAAGCTTTATTGACCATGGCATGGTTGTTGAGATTTAACTCTAGCAAAATTAACCAACATTGACTTGTCAAAGTCTGATCTTACTTGTCACCTCTCAGATGACTGTATTTCCTTTCACTTGCATGAACATTGGGTCCATGCAGATATGATGCTATGCTTTCTTTGACTGTTATTGTAATTAATTATGTATGATTTGTTAGCTTATCTTTAATATTGTTTACAAAATCCACTTGGCATGGAACTAATTTACAATTAGGGGTGGCGAACCCATGACATGCCTGGCCAAGGTGACACACACAAAATTGTTGGCTCGCTGTATGCACTGTATGCACTGTCATCCCGAAGTTTTTTTGGGGGTCTCGATTCTGTCCATCATTTTCTCCGGTCAGATGTTAACAAAATATAAAAATGGTCTGGCCTAACTTTACCTTACCATAACCAAACGTCATATGTTCAGTTTTCCTTGACTTTTTTTTTTTGATAATTTATAATATGAGCCAAAGTTTAATATTTCACTTTCACATTAATATTAAAAGTTTTTTTATCAAGTTTTCAAAAATACTTTCATTTACAATATATTACTATAAATACTAAGAATTTTTAAAGCTATAATAACAATTCAGAAGAGATTTTGGGTGGTTCAATATATTTTAAAGAATGTTTTTAACCCTTCAGAGGGCAAGACGAGGCTCTCTTCATAACTTTTTTTTGTAAAATATTAATGTAATAATAATAATAATAATAATAATAATAATAATAATAATAATAATAATAATAATAATAATGAAATCTGCTACTCAAAATTTTCACTGGCACACAAAATCTTTCAGGGAATTATCGCCAATTTTGGCACACGCTCTCCAATACGTTCGTCACCCCTGTAGGCACTAAATTGCTAGTGCCAGCCACCAGCGCCGGTTTCTGAACAATACACTGTTAAAT